CGTTGGGGCACAACGAAATGTGTTGGGCACCAGGACAGATACCACAAATTCCTTCATTGTTATCATGTGAATTGTCATCGTGTTATCTGGTTAAAAACTCACAGTCTCACCTCTCGGCAGGGGAGGCGACTTTCAGTCTCAGCTCTGCTTGAGGCTGCGTGACTTTGGTCAGTCTCTGGGCCATAATTTTCTCTGGATAAGAAGGCAGATTGGAGACACTAAGGCAGTGGTTCTCAACCTTGGCTGCACATTAGAATCACCTGGGAATCTTTTCAAAATCCTGATTTCTGGGCCGCATCCTCCGGAAATTCTGTTTCTTTGTTATGGGGTGGGGCTACAACATTAGTAACAAAGAAAGAATTTCTGGAGGATGAGGCCCAGAAATCAGGATTTTAAAAAGATTCCCAGGTGATTCTAATGTGCAGCCAAGGTTGAGAACCACTGGCTAACCGCTATGCCGTACACCTGAAACTAATACAAAATAATACTGAATGTCAATTGTAATTGAAAAAATTTAAAAATGAAATTTTAAAAAACTGGAAAAAAATTTAAAACAACAAAGTATTAAAACACACACACACACACACACACACACACAGTGAAGGAATCGGGAGGAAACTTTTGGGAGTGATGGATATGCTCGTGACATAGATGGCAATAATGGTTTCCCCAGTGTACACTTATCTCCACACTCACCTCGTATCCATGAAGTATGGACAGCTTTGGGCCCTGGCCAGTAGCTCAGATGGTTAGAGCATTGTCTGGATACTCCAAGGTTCCGGGTGCCGTCCCCGATCAGGATGCAACCAGTGAATGCATAAGTAAGCAGAACAACAAAGTGATGCTTCTCTCTCTTTTTCTTTACGTCAATTATACTTCAATCAATGCTGAAAAGACAAGGTCCGAGGTTAGGGAGAATGAGAGTTAGAATTAGAGCTCCATGCCCTCTCCCTGTGAATTCTGGGCACACGGCCCTACCAGGACTAATGTTTACCAACCCGGAAGTTCCCGCAGCCTCACTGTTTCAGGGTTTTCGTATGGAGTTCCATTTCACAGGTGGACTGATTAAATCACCGGTCACCTGGTTGACCTCCATCCCGTCTCTCTCCCCGAGGTGGGGGCTGGGGCGTGCTGCTGAAGGTTCCAGCCCTCATTTATCTAGCGACCGGATTCCACCCTGAAGCTATTGGGGACCCTTATGAGTCACCTCATTAGCATAAACTCAGGTATGGTTGAAAAGGTCGTCTTGTCTTTGAGTCATATAAGACACTCCTATCACTCAGGAATTTCCAGCGGTATTAGGAGCTCCTGCCGGACCTGAGGACAAAGACCAAATATATTTATTACCCTGCACTTCCTCACTCAAGACTCTGGCAATTGAAGCTGGCTGTTGGCTGGCCCTCAGCTAGGCTGTCATTCGGAGCACCTGTATGTGGTCTTGTCACGTGGCCTGGCCTTCCTCCCAACTTGATGACTAGGCTCCAAGAGCAAGCTGCCAGGAGACGCCAGGTAGACCCCTGGCATACCACGGCCCTACACACTTCTGCCTTAGACATAGTCCCGCCCAGCTTCAAGGGAAGGGACCACAGAGCTCATTTCTCAATGGGAGGAGAGTCAATACCACTTTGTAGGAAGGACAGGTAGGATAGGAGACCTCATTGGTTGTGGCCAACTTGGAAAATAACATTTGCCACGACTAGAGAAACCCAACCAATACCCGGCCTTCGCTCCAGGCCGAAGACCAGGTCCTCCTTTGGACCAGTCTGAGTTATTTCACTTCTCTCTTCCAAACCAGAAATAGTTTGTTTTTGTGATAGCACTCGTGGCTTTACTATCCTGGAAGCTCCTTGAGGGCATGGACCAGCTCTTTCAGATTTTACAAGGAAAGAATGAATAAATGGAGTAGTTAGTGTAGTGACTAAGACAGCAGGCCCTGGCAACAAACTACTTTCATTCAAAGTGCCATTTGCCAGAGACCTGACCTTGTGCAAGTTACTAAAAAGAGTGCAAAATAACCTATGTAGTACTTTAAACAATAAAAAAAGAGTGCAAAATATCTCAATAATTTTTATGTTGATTACATGTTAAAATGAAAATATTCAGCTATCTTGAGTTTCATAAAACTTACTAGAATTAATCACATTATTCCAAACTCATCAAGTTGCACAGCTTTTTGTATGTCTATCACACCTCCATAAATTGGTTTTGAAAAAGTAGTTGCGCCCTAGCTGGTTTGGCTCAGTGGATAGAGCATCGGCCTATGGACTGAAGGGTCCCGGGTTAAATTCCAGGTAAGGGCCCAGGGCACATGCCCGGGTTGTGGGCTTGATCCCCAGTAGGGAGGCGTGCAGGAGGCAGCCCATCAATGATTCTCTCTCATCATTGATGTTTTTATCTTTCCCTCTCCCTTCTTCTCTGAAATCAATAAAAAATATATATATTTTAAAAATTAGTTGCATTTGTTTCCTTTTACTTTTTTTTTTAATGCTGTGACTGGGACATTCTGTGTGGCTTGTATTATTTTTATTATTAATTTGCTTGCGTTATATTCTATTGGACATTTCCTGGTATGACACACCACCCCCGCAAACTTTAGCAAACAAAGGAGCACGCAGCAGCTGGCTTTGGGTCTGGAGGGTGTGAGGTAATCTAACATCTCTCCTGCCTGATTCTGGGCACGACTCTTGCTGTCCAGACTCCAGCGACAAAACTGGTGACTCCGCAGGCTGGGGCCCAAGCCAACAGCCCGCCTTTGGGTCAGACTCACACACTGATGGTGCTAGGCTCTCTGTAGCTTCTTCTATCCTAAGCCCTTCCTTGTTTCATTGTACCCAGCTTTGATAAACATATCCTCAAAATAAAAACATAAACATAAATAAAAATAAAGGTGCTTCTTTTTTTAAACAAAAAATAGGGCACGATTCATGTCTTCGAATCTTTGATTCAAAATGTTTTGTTTTACTTTTTCAGACTTTAAAGTTGGAAATACATCTGGATTCTTTAAAAAGAAAGAAAGAAGAGGTACTTCCCTAATTATCTCAGTGTTCTTTCTCCCTGTTATGACATCCTTGCCCGGCCACCTGCTGAGCGGTCACCCTGAGGGTGGTAGCCGGGAATGCAGGCCAGGTGTGGTTTATGGCCAGAGGATCGAAGTGGGCTGGTCCTACAAGGGTCACCCTGGGCGGAGGAGAACCCTTCTCCTGGGCTGTGCCGGACCTCCCATTTCTGCCTCCTTTGGTTCATTTCCTCCTCCTGGAGGAACCCCTGTGCCGGTAGCTTCCTGGGATACGGGGTGTGGGAGGTAAAGCCGTTTTGAGAACTGACGTGGCTGAAAATGTCCTCATTTAACCTGCCCACTTGATCAATGCTTTGGCAGTTACTGGTTGAAAATCATTTTTGTTCAGAATCGTGAAGGCGTGGCTCCACTTTCTACTTTCTGTTTCCTTATGACTTTTCTTTCTGTGGAGCTTGTAGGATCTTATCTGGCCGGGCCTGCTGTTTCACAAGGTGGGGTTGGGGGTTCGGGGGCTCAGTGCGTTTCCTTCCCTGCGCTGGCACTTTCCCGCCGCAAACTCCTGTCCCTCCGCACCGGGAAGTTTCCTCCTCTGCTGCTCCGTTGTTCTTTCTTTTCTGTTACAGGATCTTACTAAGAGGGCTGGGCCTCCCGGGCTGGTTCCCTCCTCGTCTCACGGTTTCCCGTTTTCTATCTCCCCAGGACTCCCAGGCCTCCTGAGAAGTTTCCTCACCGTGATGTTCCAACCGTTCTGGTTTTTTGTTTTGTTTTGCTAGCTTGCTTTGAATCTCTGAGTTCTTCTTTTTTAAATCATCTGAATGTTTCTTTTTTTAAAGTAGTGCTCCCTTCTTATTCCTGATGAATTATCAATGAAGTTGTCGACAGCCTTACAAATAGTTTCCTTCTCCCTAAAGTATTTTTGTTTTTCCTCAAATTTCCTTTGTGTGTGTGTGTGTGTGTGTGTGTGTGTGTGTGTGTGTGTGTGTGTGTGTGTTATTTGATATTTCGAGCTCCCATTCTGGACGCTTGGCTCATATAACCTTTAACCTATGTCTGCTGTAAATCAGAGGTGGGAAACTAAAAGTTAATGGGAAGCTCTAGGGGAGTTAGGAGGCTTTGTGGAGACTTTTCCCATGTTTGCTTGTTTTTTAAAAAAATATATTTCTATTGATTTCAGAGAGGAAAGGAGAGGAAGAGAGAGACAGAAACATCAATGATGAGAGAGAATCATTGATTGGCTGCCTCCTGCACGCCCCACACTAGGGATCGAGCCTGAAACCTGGGCATGTGCCCTTGACAGGAATGGAACCCAGGACCCTTGAGTCCGCAGGCTGACGCTCTATCCCCGAGCCAAACCAGCCAGGACTCTTCCCATGTTGATATCTGTTCCTGAGTAGAGCCCTCCACTCTTCGTCCTCCTACTCTGAGGACGACTGCCATGAGGGAGGGGTTGGAGAGGTTCAGGACTCAGCCCAGGCTACGGAATACTCTCTGGGTTTCCCTGCCTGGAGGGAACCTGCAGTCTTCTGCAGGGGAAGGGCAAGGGCAAGGGCAAGGGGAAGGAGAAGGGGGAGGCAGCCCCCTTGCCTGGTCCATGCTAGGAAGCCATGTGCACTGCCTGCTGCTGCTTCTCAGCTTCATCCCATCTTCCTCATCCCACCCTCCTTCCCCCCAGTCCCATAGGTGCCTGGGGCTGCGGTCCCCAGCACACGGTGTTGATCAGCTTTTCCCACGGCTGGTCTAGGTGGCTAAATCAGTCTCCATCAGCCTGACCCCTCATTCCAGCTTCTGATATCTCTTGTCTTTTTTTCTATCATTTCTGTTCTAGGATTATGGGGCCTTTAAAAAAAAAATCCCTTTCCTGAAATTCTAGTGGTGCTTTGGGTTGAAGTGAAATTAGATACTTGCATGTAATTCCATCATGTTAACCTGGAAATGAATACTATATGTCCATTTACCTAGTAAGCATCTCCCCCACTAGAATGTAGGTTCTCTGTAGAATGATGGCAGGGTTTCGGTTCATTTCACGCTTCCAACACCTAGACAGCGATCGGAACATAATAATTGATTGACCTTGAATGAGGGACATGATTGCATACACAAAAGGCACTTGAGAAATAACTATATAGCACATGCAGAATTACACAGGGCCTCATATTTAGTTTTAACTATTTTGGACCATCTGTTGCCATGGAGAACATTACAAACAGACACTCAAAGCCAAACTTGGAGAAGTTTTAAATGAACTTGTTTTAAATGAAAGCTAATTTCCATATGTGGATTGTACATTACTTTTGTTATTTTATGATAACAATCCAATCTCTTATATGGTAGGCGTTACTTTTGTTATTTTATAATAACGATCCAATCTCTTATATGGTGGGCGTTCATCTTATCAATCTAGAGAAATAATGACCTGAGTGTGGCTGTGCCACGTATTGGCTCAAAAACTCATGTCCTGTCCAAATACAGCCCATCCTCAAGGCGGTCTGTAACCCAGCCAGCGGTTAGTTATCTCTGGATCTAAACCTGGAGCAACCCACATGCCTGGCTCGCCCAGTGTCACATCTGAGGACTCTAACGTCCAGGACTTTGTTCTCGGTGGAAAACTCCTTTCTTCTTACTCCATCAAGACCCACCATAAACCTACCCAGACCCATCTCTCAACTCTCATCCCTCTGGGGAAAGCCCTTTTATTAGCGTGAATAGTCTTCTGCGTCATGATAAGCACTGTATTTGTACCCCACTTACAGCACTTACCAGTGGGCCTGGAATCCTGGCAACGAGGTCGCTATCTGGTTCGTTTACTGTCCAGCCATAACTCGCAGGCAGCTCTCAAATGTTTGTGCACTTGAATTAAATTATTGACCGGAGGCCCACACTTTCATTTGCTTCTGTCCTAAGGACATGAGGGTAATTACACTTAGTGGTTTAGGTTTGCCATAGATGTACTGGACATTTTTATCAGCTCTTGACATTTTACCTCCTTTTCAAGGGAGATCTTTATGAACAGAGCAAAAAGGAGATGTCCTCTGCCCTGGGAACATGTTTATTGTGAAATAACTACAAGACAAAAATGCTTAAAACAACTTGTGGAGAAAAGATCTGATTTCAAAAAACCACTTCAGCTCTAGCTGGTTTGGCTCAGTGGATAGAGCGTCGAACTGCAGACTGAAGGGTCCCAGGTTCAATTCCAGTCAAGGACACATGCCCGGGTTGTGGGCTCAAGCCCGAGTTGGGGGCATGCAGGAGGCAGCCGATCAATGATTCTCTCTCATCATTGATGTTTCTATCTCTCTCTCCCTCTCCCTTCCTCTCTGAAGTCAATAAAAATATTTTTTTAAAAAACAACCACTACAATACTGAGTAACAGTGAGTTATAGAAAGACAAGGCCTAAAACATGAAAATAGCATCTGAAATCAACTCCCCTTGAGGGTTCAGTCTCACACAGAGTTCAAGGGAGTGTGAACTTTGCAGGGGGCAATACAACAACGTGTAGCAAAGCTTTAAAAACATTCTCCCTGCCCTAACCAGTTTGGCTCAGTGGATAGAGCTTCAGCCTGTGGACTGAAGGGTCCCAGGTTCGATTCCAGGCAAGGGCATGTACCTTGGTTGCGGGGACATCCCCAGCAGGGGGTGTGCAGGAGGCAGCCAATGAATAATTCCCTCTCATCATTGATGTTTCTATCTCTCTCTCCCTCTCCCTTCCTCTCTGTAAAAAAATCAATAAAATATATTTTTTTAAAAATTCTCATGCTCTAACCCAGGAACTCCATTTTTGGGAACATAGTTTAAAGAAAGAAACTTAATGCCCTGGCCAGTTGCTCAGTGGTTAGAGCATCAGCCTGAGCACCGAAGGCTCACAGGTTCAATTCTTAGTCAAGGGCCTTACCTAGGTTTTGGGTTCCCTCCCACCCTGATCAGTCAGTCAGGGTGTCCGGGAGGCAACCAATTGATGTGTCTCTCTCACATTGATGCTTCTCTCTCTCTCCCTCCCTCCCTTCCACTCTCTCTAAAAAGCAATGGAAAAAATATCCTCTGGTGAGGGATTAACAAAAATAAATAAATAAATAATCCTGTACAGATTCTTGCACATGTTCAGCTCAGCATTGTTTAGCAAATGGGGCCAACTCAACTATCCTATAATAGAGGAATGGTTAAATTAAGGTAATGTGCATAATTGAATGAACAGTAAGCAGCCATTAAATATGGTCTAATGATGATTCAGTATGACTTGTTTAAAACATGTTCATTATGTATATAAAAATAATAACTGAGCAGAAATACACCAAACTGCCCTGGCTGGTTTGGCTCCGGGGGTAGAGCATCGGCCTGGGGACCGAAAGGTCCCAGGTTCGATTCTGGTCAAGGGCACATGTCCGAGTTGTGGGCTCGATCCCCGGTAGGGGACGTGCAAGAGGCAGCCAATCAACCATTCTCTCTCATCATTGATGTTTCTATCTCTCCCTCTCCCTCTCTGAAATCAATAAAAATATATTAAAAAAAAATACACCAAACTATTGGCACTTGAATGGTCTGCTAACAGCACATTATCTCCAGGACTTGGTACAAAATGACAAGAGAAAAAAAAAATCTGAGATGTTCTGAATTAAATTACGGAGGGCCCGGCTAGTGTGTGGCTCAGTGATTGAGCGATGACCTATGAACCAGGAGGTCATAGTTGGATCGCCGGCAGGTGCCCTGACCTCTCGTCCCCAGGGTGGGGCGTGCAGGAGGCAGCCAGTCAATGATTCTCTCTCATCATTGAATGTTTCTATCTCTCTCCCCCTCTCCGTTCCTCCTTGAAATCAATAAAAAATATATGTTTACAAGATGTACGGAGGGCTGAGTGAAAGGGCCAGCCAGACTGTTAATAGCTGGCGGCCAGCTAGCGAGTGTGGGTGGGAACTTGGGATGGACTTCAGGTGGCTTTTCCGCCATTATCAAGGGAGGGAGCAGCCAGGTGCCATCAAAACCCCGGAGCTCCCACTTCTTGTTTGCATGTGCACTTTCCGGACTGGCACCCACCACCCGTCCCAGGGAGCAAACACTTCCTGCAGACGCTGCGCCTCCCCTACCCGCTTATCTGCAGCCAGTGCAAACACATTTTTTCTTTTTCTTTTTAAAATATTTTTATTGATTTCAGAGAGGAAGGGAGAGGGAGAGAGAGAGAAACATCAATGATGAGAATCATTGATTGGCTGCCTCCTGCACGCCCCCCACTGGGGACCAAGCCCGCAACCCCTGGCATGTGCCCTTGACCGGAATCGAACCTGGGACCTTTTGGTCCACATGCTGAGCTCTATCCACTGAGCCAAACCAGCCAGGGCGTGCAAATTCTTTAAAAAACATATTTTTAATTGATTTCAGGGAGGAAAGGAGAAGGCGAGAAAGAAAGAAACATCAATGATGAGAGAGAATCATGGATCGGCTGCCTCCTGCACCCGGGATGGAGCCCACAACCCTGGCACGTGCCCTGACCCGGAATCCAACCGTGACCTCTTGGGTCACAGGTCAGCCCGCAACCCCTGAGCCAGGCCGGCCGGGCCCATGTAAATTCTTCCACAACCTACATCTTTCTTCCCCAAACTGTTTCCATGAAAGAGCCGGTTAGCTCCAGGACTGCAGGGTGCCTTGTCCTCCGGGCGCTGCTGCAGGTGGTTAGACTCCTTGCCCAGGCCCGGTCTTCTTTTCCCGCCGGAAATGGCCCCATAAGCCGTGCTTTTCCTAAGACATTCAGCCGTGGACGTTAGCATTTCTGTTCAACAAAAGCACAGGACAGTAAGATGCTCAACGCATTAAAAATCATCAAAAACGCATACGCAAGGGGACAAAGTTCAGCACTTTTTCGGTTGAACGAACCTATAATGTTTGAATAATGGTGCGATGTACGGTCTTCTTTATGGTTTTGGGTTCCGAATTTTCTAGAAGGTGTTCCCATCACTTAGGTTACGGCTAACACACAGGAAGGACAGACCGACGCCCTTCTCCAGGCCTCGAACAGGAGTGGGTGGGTCCGGGATAAAGAGACTGCCCTCCAAGGCTGCTCTCCAGGCCCGATCCTGGCCTTCCGGGGCGGGGCAGGACCACGACCTCAGCGCGCA